ACTGTGTATATTTGTTATGGATATATATAAATTCACAAACATACAGTATATATTATGATATATACATACATGTAAATATATGTATTTACATGTATATATTTATAGACAATTTATATTAGATATAAATCTATTTAAACAACATATTTTTCGTAAATATATCCATGCATGTGTGTGTACTTATATATACATAACACAATAAATATACACAGTACACAAACATATATTATATGTAAACAAAAACTTTCGATTTTGGCTGCGATTAATCGCGATTATCAATTAATTCATTCAAGAGACGATTAATCTGTCAGATTGAGTCAAACGCTGGGAAGGAGTCAGTCTGAGAGTGGTTTATATAAACAAAACTTTCGATTTCGGATGCGATTAACCACGATCACTCATTTGACAGCACTATTTAGATACAAAGTTTTTAAGAGAATCGACACCAATGAATATATTCAAGAGTCGATTCATCTGTCTGAGAGCGGTTTATATAAACAAAACTTTCAATTTCGGATGCCATTAACCACGATCACTCATTTGACCGCACTATTTAGATACAAAGTTTTTTTAAGAGAATCGGCACCAATGAATATATTCAAGAGTTGATTCATCTGTCTGAGACCGGTTTATATAAACAAAACTTTCGATTTCGGATGCGATTAATCGCGATTAACCGCGATCACTCATTTGACCGCACTATTTAGATACAAAGATTTTTTAAGAGAATCGACAGCAATGAATATATTCAAGAGTTGATTCATCTGTCTGAGACCGGTTTATATAAACAAAACTTTCGATTTCGGATGCGATTAATCGCGATTAACCGCGATCACTCATTTGACCGCACTATTTAGATACAAAGATTTTTTAAGAGAATCGACAGCAATGAATATATTCAAGAGTTGATTCATCTGTCTGAGACCGGTTTATATAAACAAAACTTTCGATTTCGGATGCGATTAATCGCGATTAACCGCGATCACTCATTTGACCGCACTATTTAGATACAAAGATTTTTTAAGAGAATCGACAGCAATGAATATATTCAAGAGTTGATTCATCTGTCTGAGACCGGTTTATATAAACAAAACTTTCGATTTCGGATGCGATTAATCGCGATTAACCGCGATCACTCATTTGACAGCACTATTTAGATACAAAGTTTTTTAAGAGAATCGACACCAATGAATATATTCAAGAGTTGATTCATCTGTCTGAGAGCGGTTTATATAAACAAAACTTTCAATTTCGGATGCGATTAATCGCGATTAACCGCGATCACTCATTTGACAGCACTATTTAGATACAAAGTTTTTTAAGAGAATCGACACCAATGAATATATTCAAGAGTTGATTCATCTGTCTGAGAGCGGTTTATATAAACAAAACTCACATAAACTATGTGGGGAAAAGCACATTAAGAACCCACTGAGAGATTCAACATTATAATAAATGTGCTGATGTCCCACTACAATCCCACTACAATCCATTTATCCCACAGATAACCCACAGATTCATATTACAACGGCCAGAATTCCCACTTCAAGAGGAGTGGACACACCAGTAATCCAACTACATATATCAAAGAGTTTTCAGCCTACATTAAGCAGTTCATAAACCACATGCACACACAAAACACGGCTGGTATCCCGCGACAGAGAAGCGGACAAGCCTCGGCATATTCCCGTTCAATCTCAGATCAGGAATCGCCAGCGAAACAAACGGCGACAAACTAATTTTTTCAAACTCCAACGGAACTCACGGGCCTTTGAAAAGGATGTGGGGACGGTTTTAACGCTTCACTAACATCCACCGGCGGCAAATGAAGATGTAAATGCTACGTTACCTGATTTATGTCATGAATTATCCGTCTGGGGAAAGTTTAGAGGACGCCGCTTCTCTGTGAGTCTCAGACAGTGACTCCTCCCTCGGCTCCCTCCGCGCGCGTGTACTGAAGCTATCACGACGTCGTCTACGCCAAAGTATGTTTACTATCAAGGGTCTTCTTCTTCTTCTTCTTCTTCTTCTTCTTCTTCGTTTGGAGTTTTATGGCGGTATGTGCTATCAAGGGGGCTTCTTTCAGTTAGTGAGGTGTCTTGATTTAGTGTTGAGGAAAAACGCATTACTTTTAAAAGTAATGCGTTACAATATTGCGTTACTCCATAAAAAAGTAACTAATTACGTAACTTAGTTACTTTTTATGGAACGTAATGCGTTACGTTACTTTTGCAAAATCTGGAAAGGGCTCGTTTTTCTTTGATTTTAAAATTAAAAAGTTATATTTTTGGCAAATATAAAAGCTTTTCACACCTAAAGGGAAATGAATAAGCCTCAGGCTGAAGGGAAAATACAGTAGAATGCAGAAGAAGACATTTCAACACTTCAGCAATAAAAAAAACACACAAATGTAATTTGTGCTTATTAGTA